ATGTCTAAGAACTTTGATTGATAAATTACTAATCATCCTTTATTTTTCCTTACACCCATTATACCCTGTATTGTTACAAATAACTCAAATGACTCATTAATTTGTTGTTCATCCAAACAACAAATTAATGAGTCATTTGTTACAGTTACAAATTAATTACCGTTAATTAGTAATGGATATCAAACTAATGTGCAATTATCAACAAATATTTTCATACATCAGATGGCATTTCACTAAACAGGAAGTGATATCATATATTTTTATTGTTTATAACTGAAAATGAACATGTCAAATCAAAAAATGACCCTAGTTTTTGATTCAAAATTAACCTGTAACAACCCCTCAAATTTTTTACACTCCTTTCTATTATACCCTGTATATTACATTCATATATAGGGTGTCCAAAAATTATTTCCCCATTACAATGTTCACAAAAATTACACTAGTAGAGATAGAAAAAAAAATCAATTGTTGCATGTGATAGAGCAATTCAAATAATATTTTCTTCATGATGGCAACATTGGCAATCTCAACATTTTCCAGCAATCTTTATCAGAAAATGGCAACATCCACAGAGAAAGTAATATGCATACTTTGGCTTTGGGAAACAGAGTCCAGGCAAGCAAATGTGATTTTCTAACAGGATTGAGCATCTCCACAATGGGCAAAGGAAGTACAGCATAACCTCGATGCAACTTTCCCAGATCAATGGATAGGCCAAAAATATTCCATTGCTTGGCCTCCTCACTCATCCAATCTGACATGGTACCTATTTTTTTCATTTTGGGATATGTTAAGGATAGTGTATACACAAAAAAGATATTGAGCATGAAGAAATTGAAAGAATGCATGACACAGGCAATCAGAATAATTCCAATTGACATAATCAGGAACACTTGGAGAGTTCAAATGCAGATTGGACATTGTTCGTGCAATGAATGTGCACATGTTAAAGTTTACCAAGGGAAAATAAAAATTTTTCTATTTGCTTTATTACCTACTGCAATCAGTAATCTTGTCCTGGTAGACCATTAAGTAACACAGAAATTATTGTTAAAGAATTAGATATCAACAAAGGAAGCATTTACATAATTTTAAAGGTTTTCTTAATGCAAAAACTGTGTATAACGATTGTCCTGTAAATTTTGACTCCAAATCAAAAAACCAACAATAATTGTGCTGCTCACTTGCCAAATTGATTAATTCCATAAAACAAAAAGTGGAGAAAAGTGACAAAGTAATATACAGTGGTGCCTCATATAATGTACTTAATCCGTTCCAGGTGCACGTCCATTAAGTGAAAAGCCCGTTATACTAAATGCATTTTCCCATAGAAATACATGTTAAAACATATTCATTCCACAGCATAAAATAACTGTACCGTACCATAAAAAAAAATGAAAATGGAGCAGTCACCAATTATGCCAGGTAGTCAGAAGAGAGGAGGCAGAGGAACACTTTCTTTACACATTCATACAGATACAGACTTTTTACACATTGCAGCAGGTCTCTTTTTATTGTTTTTTAATCAGAGTCAGATTCAGGAGAGGCTACCGGAGCTTGCAGGATCATCTCCTCTTGTTCCATCCTTTGTTTTTTGGCAGCTTGCTTCTTGAAAAACATGTCCAAAGTGGTCAACTCCTCTTGTTCCATCCTTTGTTTTTTGGCAGCTTGCTTCTTGAAAAACATGTCCAATATGGTCTGATTCTCTCTCTTCTTCAACACCTGTCAGAAATGACGAGCAAGGGTGTCATTGTAGAGATCATTGATCCTGTTGGCCTCAGCTCTGTTTGGATAATGAGTGTTGGTAAACTCCTGAACCTCTCCCCATTTGACAAGGAAGTTTTTGTCCACTTTCATTCCTTCTGATGATGTCTTGCTTTGCTTCAATTGAAATCACCTTTCTGTTTTTTTAGAAGCCATGATTTGCACAACACTTGAATAAATGTAAATACCCTGCACCAAGGTGATGTACATAATAAACAAGGAAGCAAGCCGAATCCCAATGGGAGCTCTGTACTTCAGATATACTAATAATACTAATATATTATAAAAATAGCATATTGTTATTGGCAATGGCAAAAGAGTGAAAATATCATTTGCACTCGTTCACAGAAAGACTATTGTTCGCCTCATGTAACTGCTGAACAGAAAGTCCATTGTTCACAGCCAGTCCGTTGCTCGAGTCACGTAACGGCCAAACAGAAAGTCCGTTGTTCACAGTGTCCATTATTCGAAGCATCATTATACAAGGCACCACTGTGCATCCTTTTTTAAAATTCCTTTTAAAATATAAATTGAAATAAACATTGTAGAATCTATTATTGTAGATGTAGCTTTTATTTAACGACATATAAAATGTATAAGATAGCATAGATATGCTATAATCATTACTATTATTATGATTTTGGTGTGATTGAGGAAGTTAATTGATTTGGCAAGTGAAAAACATAGTAACATCAAATTCAGTGTTCACAATTTTTATTATTATAAAAAAATTTCATTATCGTACATTTTTTATTAAAGATTTTTTGCAAAAATGAATAATAACTGTTCTGTTATTGTTAGAATGATTGTTATTATTATTTTGTTTAAATTGATTATTCAGCAACATAAATGATGTTTTCTTTGTCAGCTGTATTTGAGGTCCCAACATGTCAATTCGTTCTTAAATTTTTATAAAAATCACGTTTAATACAAGGAATTTAAAAAATTTCTTGTAGTTTCATCCATCTTGATATAATGGTTAACTTTTTTCCTAAAAACAATTGCCACCAAAATTAAAATAATCATTCAATATTTCACAAGTATATATACTTTTGCGGCAGTTGGACTGTAACTAACTAATTTCTTATACTTACTTTTTGTGATGAATTAACGTTAAATAATTTACCGTTATTTACAAGGCATTGATCAGCATACACTGGTGTTTGCAATGCTGCATTGTGTGCTGGCGGATTTATGTTACAGTATGGAGTTAATTAGATTTATTATGAATATAAAAAGTTACGAGTGTATCAAGTGCTTTGACACTAAAATTTAAAAAAATTCGAAATGTGAAGTTAATCAATTTGGCTTGTGAATGGCTCAATTGATTGTTGCTGAAACTGGATTGAAATTGAGAAAGATACAGATTTCCTTAAGAGTGTCATTACAGGTTACAAGACCTAAATTTATGAGTATTATCCAGTGACCCAAAGTGGAAAATGGAAGGCAAGCTACAAAGCAAAAAATTTAGCAATGAAAGTTGTGTAACTTTCCAGCTGTTATGAGATTTTATTTAAAAAACATTTTATATTACTAAACAAAAACTAAAATTGTGTGTGGTGCCATCTGTTATCAATTTTGTTTTTTAATTACTATAAAATGGCAAAAAGCTTAATTTTGAGGATAGGAGTGAGTTTTATGAAAAAAAAAAGTGTAAATGTTAATAAATAAAATCTTCATTAACCTACCCCTCTCAAGATACATAAACACCTCTATATCCCCACCCTCTCGACCTTTCACCACCAAAATTGAATAGTATCAATGCCTCTCATATACAAGCCACCATGCCAAATTTCATTTCTTAATCTTTACCCCATCCTGAGATACTAAGTGAAATAGATGAGAACACACACACGTTTTTGCCATTTTTTTTTTTACGTTTTTAGGATTCAGGCAATTTCAAAACATGGTGATTTGCAGAAAACTTGGAGTCAAATTTGACATGATTCCCATACTTTCCCTTATTATGTATACATAAGTCAGGAAAGTAAAATGAATAGAGACTAAACAGAAAATCAAGAGAATATTGATTGTGTTTTTTTATATAAAAAAATTAACAAATTTCTTTCATGGTACTGTAGAAACAAGTGTAATGCAAACTTGGATAGGTTTATTTTTTACATAACTTTTTCTTTATCAGCAGCAGTGTGAATAATTGATAATTTGGATGAATGATGTTTGCATAATCAAATGCACTATCTTCTAGACCAGGGGTGTCCAACCTTTTTGTTTCTCTGGGCCGCATTGGAAGAAGTCATGGAGTTTTGGGCCACAAGTATATATAATATATACTTGTGGTTCAATATACAAGTATATTTAAGGATTAACATGTCTAGATTATAATAATAAGTATTAAAACTTTATCAAGAAATAGGATATTTTAAAAAATTACTTCTACAGTAACTTTCAATTTTTTCTTAGAAATAGATAAATTTATTTATTTGATAAAACGCAAATATTTGCTTTATTTGAGTCTCTGATTAATAAAAAGCGACGAAACACTATTTTAAAGTGCATTTTTATTCGACTAATATATTTATAAATGATATGTAGCCCCAAAAGTAGCCAAAGCGCCAAATGATATTTTTTTACGTTAAACTAAAAAAGTAGCCACATTTGACGCAATGTAGCCAAATCTTGCAACGCTGGAAGGAATACTAAATAAAGATGGAGTTTTGACTCAAAGGATTATAGAGCCAAATTTGGAAAAAGAAGAGAAAGGACAAAAGATAAAGAAGCGAGAAAGGTTGGAAAATTAAGACTCAATATTTGCCTAACAGAAGAACTATTTAACCTTTCTGACAACTTTTTATCCTTTGTCCTTTCTCTCCTTTCACCAAATTTGGGTCTATAATCCTTTGAGTCACAACTCCAGCTTTATTTAGTAATCCTTCCTCATTCACACATCTCCACGTACATGAAAATATTTCATTTCCACTCAAAACTAAAATATGAATAAAGGTTTGTGAAACTTCTTTTCTGAGTTTATGCCGTTGAAATAAATAAAAAATTAAAACATTTGTCAGTTTTGTTTACACCTTTACTGGGCCGCATTGGAACTTGCCTTGGGCCGCATGCGGCCCGCGGGTTGGACACCCCTGTTCTAGACTAATATTTTTTTAAATATTCAAGTACATTCTTTTAAAATATTGAGTTCTCAAGCATGTAAATATTGAAATATTAAAATATTTGTCATTTTCTAACAGTAAAAATACTTTAATTTATAAACTTACTTTTGACACACAAGAATTCTTCATATGATTAAGTATATATTGTGTAATGTCAACCATTTCAAATGAAGTTTCATTTTCATTTAGTGATTTTATAAATAATTTTACTGGATACTGTTCTTCAACTGGAGGAGAAATAACAGCAAAAACATCTTTAGTACATACAAGATCTTTAAAAATATCTAAAACCAATCCTTTAGGAGGTATCTGAAAATACAAATTATTTTATGTAATTAAAGAAATAAATATATATTTACACATCATATGAAAATATCAAAAATGCATGTATATTTTGAGTTGAGTTTAAAAGATAAAGTTAAGTATATTAAATAAATTATGAAAATATGATCCAATTGAATACAGTATGGTCTCATTTTACATGTTCTGATTGATATACACAGATGGTGAATGGCTGGGTTAACCTATTCCTACTCCCACTAAATCTGACTCTGATGCTTTTCCCACTTCTAGCATCCAAAACATTGACAAATACTGAATGCAACTCACTGTAGTGAATACTCTACATACATTTTTCTCAAGTAATGTATTCAATGCAGTATAATAAAATTTTTCTTTGTATACTCAAAAGCATCAAAATAAAATTTTATTCATTATAGTAAAAATCCAGTAACAAGTTGCTTAACTTTCCTGGCAACATTTGGTGGCACCATCTGTTATGATATTTTATTAAAAATTTTTCATATTTTTAATTACTATAAAATGGCAAAAAGTTTAATTCTGAAGATAATGGTAAGTTTTATTTAAAAAAAATTATAAATGCTAATAATGAGTAAAATTGTCATTAAATCCTATCCCACTTGAAGTATTACACAATTTCCCTCTGTTTCCCACTCCTCGCCCCTTAACTACCAAAATTTAATAGCATCAATCCCCTAATATGCAAACCTCCCTGCCAAATTTCAGAAATTTTTGACAAAAATCACAGCAGTTATTAAGCTTCAAAAAGAGTGAACAAAATCATACCCCACACACTAATATCCATACATAGAGAAAAACCCCAACTTTTTTTTTTGCATTTCTTGATGTTTTGAGGTATCCTGAGCACAAAAATGTAAAAATCTTGAGAGGGGTTATTTTTTGACCAATTGCCATAATTTTGCTCTGTTATATATAACAGCTGGAAAAGTAAAAATGAAAAATATTTAAAACACATTTTGTTGATCTACTGTTTACTGTAAATAAATACATAAGTCAATATTTTTCAACCTTTTTCTAATAGTGACTACCTTCAACTTGATAATTTTTTTATACTTGTGGCACTCCCACTTATTTATCAATGTCAGAGTTGTGCTTCTTAAATATATTACTAAAAATATGAGAAGTGTTATAGCAATGCCTAGCACTATTTTATAGCATCCCTGATGTCTTGTTGCAGCACTCAAGTTTTTCAACTTGAGTGCTGCAACAAGGCATCAGGGATGCTATAATGCAGTGCTGCAATAATGATTATGATGATCCTGACAATTATCATCAGGGAAAACTTTAGTTTCTCCTAACAATAATCATTTTTTAACTCAAATATTCTTTTTTTTGAATGGAAAAATTTATCATGATTCAACAAAACTATTCATTTTAAGCTTTTATTTAAATTTTATATCAAAGTATAATTAGAAAATTATCACACTTTCTTCTAGGTTCTCTTAATTTCCTGTTCAAGTGCCAGAAAAATCATGCAAGAGCCTTGCTAGCATTTTTAAATAATCGTTGATAAAAATTATAAAAATGTTATTATTAGTAGTATGTCACTATATCAATATAAATATGCAGTGTGTTCAATTTTATTGTATTTCATAAAAACTAAAAACATTAAGTGTAAATGTTGGAATTGAAAGTTCGGATTGTAAACAAATTGGACAATGAACACTTTCATGCGAGATTTTTATATTCAGACAACAAACACCTGACAGAAGTGACACTGCATTTAAGATTTGTAAAACTATATTTTAGTAGCATCTATACATAGCTTATCTGAACGAAAGTGTTTTTCTGAACTTTTTATTTAAACAATATAATATTATGGGGCCTAAAAAAAGTGGCATGTCAAAAACTGTGTTCACTATAGAAACTAAGCAAGAGATAATAGCCAAGGCAAAGAGTAGGCAGAATATATCAGATATTGTAGGCAGATGACTTCAGGTCTACAGTAGATACAATCTTAGATAAGAAAGATATAATCAAAAAGACTCGAGCAGACAAAGGAGAAACAAAAATCACATCTGAGAAACAAAGATGTGCCATCCATGAAAAAATGGAGAGATTGCTTTTAGTTTGTTATTACATGTAAATAAACATAGTAAGAAAGTATATAATTAATTTATTTATTTTTTGGATTCTTCAGAATAAATTAATCAAGTTCTGACAAAAATCTATGGTAAATTGATAATCTGTCAACAAACAATTCGGATAGCGAATATAGTCTTGGAATGGATTATGTTCCTTAACTGATCATCCACTGTATTTATGTTCAAGTTTAACATAAATTTATGATAATTCATTATTTTATTTTGTAACTTAAATTATTAAATAATATTTCATAAAAGTTTAAAAAATTAATATATACTTACTCCTTCTAAAAAACATAAAATAGCTTGTGAAGGAATGCTAGCAAAAGATGATGGCAACAGTCGTAAGGAAGAAATAGGAATAGTACCTTCATTACCATAATCAATGTAATGAACTAATAAGTTATTTTCTAAAATATAAAACAATTATATTAAATCATAAAATCTCCCTTTGTAAAAATTAATTAAAATGTTTTATTAAAAATATAAAATATATATATGTAACATTTAAAACAAAAAATGTTTTAAATAAATCATTTTAGTTTGAAGTTTTTAATGTTAATGTAAAACTTCCAAATCAAATTAAAAATCACTTATATTTAATTTACCTAATAATAGCTTCAACACCTTCACTCTATGGAGATTATTATCTTTCACATATGGTGCAAGGAAATATTGACCTACACTAACTGTATATTCACATTTGACAACTTCAGCAGATCTAATAATTAAAATATACAGTATATTCAAGACTGTCATAAAATAAATTTTATAGTTAGATGTTAAAATTTGTAATTTAGTAATTTGATTTAGTTTTTCTTAATTTTTATTTTACACTAAAATTTATCAGTGTATTTTTGATTTTTAACAAAAAATCAATTTTAGTGGAAATTTTTTGCATGTCTAAACTGACTCAAAATATTAAAAACAAAAAATAAAGTTATGTAAAAAACAATACTTTATACATTAAACTAAAGTCTAGAAGTTTAAATTTACATTTAAACTTAAAGAAGTTTAAATTTACATTTAAACTTTTTTAAAAGTTATTTATCTATACTAATATTATAAAGAGGTAATGTTTATAAGTAAGTAAGTTTGGATGTAGCAGGTAATCTCCAAAACTACTCATCTGATTTCAAAAATTCTTTCACCAATATTTAGAATGGAACTTCAGGGTGGACATAGGCTGTATATTATTCTGTTAAACATTCACATAAATTAAAAGATATCATCTAGGGTTAAGGATTTTATGTCCAACAGATGGCACTAACTCCATGAGTACGACAACCTAAGTTTGCTTTTCTGTGAGGATGAACTAAAGCACATCATCATCTATCTATATAAATAAATATGTAATGTTCGTTTGTTCCTACCGATTCCTTAGAAATTTTGGCACAATGCTGCATTCGAATAAGCATGTGTTTTTATATAATATACATGTCGAAATTCCCCCCACTGGGGGGGGAGATGGACAGGATTAAGGCTTACTGTGAAGAACTTGGCTTCTATTATATGGGGGAAGTGCTATACATTTATAATAGATACATTTTGAGCCACAACACATGGTGGGGTCTGCTAGTCAAAGATAATTTTAGTTAAGAAAGATTAACTATTCTTTGATAGTTGTAAAGTTTAGATGGATTATTTTATTTACATTTTTATTCAGCCATCTGTAAGGAAGTTCTTATAACTTCCCTATATTCAGTTTAAATAAAGACAATTATTTTTTTTAGATTTTTTTGTTCTTCTGCCATATGAACATTGAGGGTCAGTTTTATTTTCCTGGCTGTTATTTATACATAACAAGGTAAAGTATTGGAATCATGTCAAATTTGATCCTCTGAGATTTTTGCAAATCTCCACATTTTGAGACCACCTGAATCCAAAAAAGTAAAAATAAATAAAAAAGCAAAAAAATTTTGTGGATGTGTGTGTATTTTGGCATCTAATTTGCTTAATATTTCAAAACGGGGTAAAGATTAAGTAATGAAATTTGGCATGATGACTTGTGTATAAGGGGCTTTGATGCTATTAAATTTTGATGGTTAAAGGTTGAGTGGTGGGAGATAAAGGGGGTCTCCAGTATAATCAGACTTAATGGTGATTTTACTCATTATTAACATGTTGACTGCTACATGTCATTGAATGGAATGCTCCCTGACCCTATTGTTATTCAGCCATGTTATTGTGTCTAATAATAATCTATTTATAACATCAGTTCTTCAGCTATACTGATAACAAAAGTTTATTCTTGCTAAAAAACATGTGAGTTATATTGTAGTTGGTGTGTATAACAAAAAATTCTTTGAATAGTTCAACTGTGAGATAATTCAATCACACCAGATGAAACCAAATATAATTAGAAATTATAATAATGAATGTCTGGCATAGATTAATCAGATTATATACTTTATTATTAATCAGTGCTAAGGAACACCATCAAATAGCCAATAATTTATTCAATTTTACAAGCTCTATGATAGCTTTTCTTTTCTGCTAGACTTATTACACCATCAATTAGAAACAGGACAATCTTTAGAAAATCACATTTTTATTTCCTAGAGTATTTTCAAAATTCGAACAAGATTGCCCACATTGAATTTAAATTTATTTCCGCTTATACCATACAACCTGACAAAAATTGCACTATGATGCAGGGGTGTAACTTGGCAGAGCCATGTCAATATTTCTATGAAAACTATTATCATAGCTTTTTACCATATCAGATAATTTATTGATATATTTATAAGGATTATGACGAGTAAATAATCTGTATTTTATTTTGTGAAGTATTATTTAGTCTTTCAACAATGGAAGCTTTTGTATCAGAATGGGTTGAATATTTAATTTTTAAACAGCTTTTTTATTTATCTGTTATAAAATACCTTTTCTTTATTGGTTTGAAAATTTTTTGGAATGTTTTGTTTAAAAATGAGTTGAAAAGCATCCAAAACAGATTGATGTTTTTCTATCCTTTATTGCTACAACATGACAGTATTTAGTAAATATGTAGATTATGGTTAATAAATATTTTATGCCATTATTAAATCTAGAAAATTGTTTTAGCACAATTTAATCATCTTACCATAAGTCATTGGGATAAAAAGCTTTAGTTTTTCTTTGCAAATATTTAATTCTTACAGGTTTATGTAGAGTATAAACTGGTTGAAAAAACAACTATTTTTCAACAATAGGTCTTGATAAATTAGATGCTTTAACTAATTTACTCACACTACCAAATGATGCAGGTGATTTCAGATTATAATATATCAATTTCAAAAGTTTTTCCATTTGAGCCTTCCCCTCTTTCTTGAAGACTTCTTTCACTGGTAAAATATTCTTGGAGAAAAGAAAAAATAAATGTTGTTAGTAGAAATTATTTGGCACGTAATGTGTCACTTTGGACAAGCATGCTGTAGGTTTGCCACTTCTCTCTAAAACAATAATAATCACATCTTGTTTCACAGAACTTCAGGTACCTCAAGAATTCTGTAAAGATATTTACAAGAAATTTTTTATTTTCATTATTTTCCAAAAATTTCTACACTGTACTTTAACTATAATAAGCTTTATCACTTAGAAAATTAAACAGAAGTTTTCTACAAATGTTTCATTTCTTTAAACTTTGTTTAAAGTAGGGGTCCCCAAACTTTTTATCCCGTCGACCCCTTTATAGAAAATTTGCCTTCTTATCGACCCCAGATTAAGTATTTAACAAAAACATTAAATCATTTTTGTATTTCTAATGTTAAGCGATAAGGTGTCCTGCATAACAACCCAACAAAAGAATTTATAGTTCCCATACCTTATAAAATCCATCCAATAACATTAACAGAAAAGATCTTTTTCACTGATTTATGATCTTAAAAAATAATAGCAAAATTATGGATTGATGGAAATTTGCCTATAGTTCTTAAACTGTACGTGTTATAATACGTAAAATACACACTTATCTTTGAAAACATAAGTTATATTGGATGAAAAATCCTCTTACTGTCATTTTGCAACTACTACTGAATTACTTAAAAATATGTTGACGTGCCAAAAATTCACTATACCTTTAAAATGCAGTCTAGTTTACATCTGTCGAACGTTTTCGGTCGACGTGCCTTTTTATTAAAATAGTTGATATTAGTGGGATGGATGAGTCTGAAGAGAAGCAGCAAGATTATTGATATGTGGTTGAAAATTGTTAAGTTTTAGTCGCAAATCACCACAGTTTTCCAATTTCAATCTGTTCCTCTGTTTTGTCAAAATTGCGTTCACGTGGCTAAAACCAGCTTCAACCATGTATGCAAGTAAGAAAGGTTCGGCTTCTGCTCTGAGCTTGGGATGTTTAGGGCAATATTGTTATTGTTCCAAAATTCGCTGAGATTTTTATTTTTAAACAACGCTTTAGCTTTGAAATCTACACATATTTCACTCAGTTCATCTTCTAAGCCAGGTTCACTACCTTCATTATCTATTTTTACATCAAATGGATTAGCAAATCATTCGGGAACATGCATATTCTCCAAGTCTTCGAAATGTGCTTTAAAGTCTTCTCTTAATTTATCAAGATGTTCAATATATATCTCCAAATCACGGTCAGAAAACTTTTCATTTTCTCTTAGTACTCGCAAGTTTGAAAATTATTTAAAATCGGATCGTGCCAGTGAAGATGTAAATAGCTCCATTTTTACTTGAAAGGCCATAATGATTTTTCGAGCTTGAACAATTTGAACACTTTTTCCTTGCAATCGCTTCTGTACTACATTAATGATTTTCGATATATTACGATAATTTCTCTGTAAGCGACAAAATATCTACATTTAGATATAAAATACTTAGAGTGTCAACCCTACTAGAGTGTAACAGTGCAACATATGTCTGTGTATAATGAAAAATAGCATTCATAACATGTTTGCAACACTAGTACAGTTACCAGATGCGTGAAAACAGAGTAACACATGCTTAAAGCGGTGTAGGCTAAGGCAAAATTCAAGTTATAACTAAGGGAAGTCAGTAATGTCGTTGATCATATCCGTATTTCGAATTTTTATTGAAATATTCTATTTTTTTAGTAGACAGTTTAATTGATCCTCTTTGGTATTAATCGACCCCCTTTCGACCCTCGTGTATTAATCGACCCCTGGATTAGAAAATCACATTTTTA